ATACAACTGGGCAGCACTCAGTGACGTCACTCAGGTGAAGACTGAATCCACTGGACCTTCTTGTCTCCATTTGCCCTCAGCCAATCATTGGTAATGGATAAATTGTGTTTTTTAGTTGATCCACATCCCACTGCCCCTACATCCTCCCAAACAGCCACAAACAATGAACAGCTATGGTGTTGACAACACATCACTCCGTAAAAGGATTTGCCCTGATTTTCTAAACTTTGGTACATTTTCACACGGAATTAAATCAGTAATAGGTAGGAGTTGCTATATCAAAGAAGAAAACCCCCTTCATGATCTTCTGTAGACCTCCTTCAACTGCTGGATAATCCTGATTCACTCTATGTACTGTGGATGATTGGACATCAAAGCATAAAATAATAATACACCAATCAGTTGAAATAATAGATATAGTTAATATTATTTACATGCATTGCTTCTGCGGCTTGAGCATTTTTCTTTATTGAAAATGAATGTAAATACTGGGCTGGTTTTATGATTTTTACTTATGTTTTGGAGAAGATTCTGCACCATCTTGTGGCAACTCGTAGCTACGGCCAAATTAACACTTGGCCTCTCTCTGCTGATCACAACCACACACAAGCGTATATCGCATAAATGTAACGGAATACACTTTTTGGCAAGAACAAGGGACATTGCTGCTTTTAATTCCTACTCACTGACAATAAGAATCTTCTTTTTTATTCTTAATTTTATATACACATACTGTTAAAAGACCTTGACACGTTTACTTGTGAAAGGAAGCGATTTTTCATGGCATGATCCGGCTGGTTACTTTTTGTCGGCCTCCACATTAATGCTGTTCAGAGGTGATTTAGGAGCAGCGCTCTAGTCTCACAGATCCATCGAGCCTTTGTATCGCAGGGCCAACCCTCCCATGAAGTAGGCCCGCTTCTAGCACAGTTTTCATCCTGGAAATGTGGACTCGGCTTCGGGAAACTAGAACAGAAAGAAAGAGACCGAGTGATATAACAGTGTTTTAAAAAACGTATTGCTAAGAAGGCAGCA